TTGACGTTTTGATAAATTTGTTTTTCTTTTTTGTTAATGAAACCTGTTGTTTCTTTTATCTGAGACAGTGGTCACAGTAAGGCATTAACCATCTTGGAGATTAAAGTGGTTGTATTTCATATGATATCTCATGAAACAATGGAGTTCAATTTCTTGTACATTGTTCCCATCAGGATCACGACAAACATTTAGGGGCTCAGTGTGGGATCTTTGAATGTGGACAATGTGAGATTGGATGTGGAACAATAATTAATTGGTGAAGAATAAAAGAAGATTCTCAGGTGACCTGGTGTTGGGAGTGATGCGGGGCCCCGGAATCTCCCCCACCTGATGTCCCAGAATCCAGCCCGATGAAGTCCACCAATGGACCCTCTGCCGGTGACCCTAGGGTGGTGCTACTGGGGAAATGGAGGTGGCTAATGGTACCAGACCACCCCCCCACAACTCTCTTGGTGAGGGAGGGGTCAGTGGCCAAGGATCACCAGCCAGGGGAGGAAGAGAGCTCGGTGGTGAGCACTGGATGGATCCCCTGGTGCTCCCCACTAAACTCATCTTCATCCTCACTGCGGAACTCTGGGTGTTTCTGGGGAAAAAAGAGTCTCGATCGTCAGGATAGAGCTTTGGACGGCTGTAAGGATTTTGAGCTGATCTTCTTGTCCACTGGGCAGCTCTCAGCACACCCAGGATGGCCTAGAACAACCGGTGACTGTTCAGGAAGTTCCTCAGTGCATTGCTGAGGAAGGCAAGGGCCCTGTTTGCCCTTCCTTCCTCCACACACTGAGGGTGATGGTGACTGTGGCACAGTGCCACTGACATGAAAACAGTTATGGCCAGCCTCAACGTCAATGGCTGCAGGAAGCCACAATATAGCTTCCAGAACTTCTCAGTTCTCCGGGTCAGGACAAAGGCGGTGTGCTTCCTGAAAGAAACCCACACTACCCCGGGAGACAAAGGTACCTGGCTCCTGGAGTGGCAAAGAGGGATCTACATGAGTCATCTCACCACCAATTCCAGCGGGGTAGCTATCTTGGCCCCACATTTTCAGCCCTTGAGAGTCAAGGAGCCAGTGCTAAGTCATTTGCTTCACCTGTACATTCCTCTGGTTGGGCCGAGGCAAACATGCTTCTTTGAAGAAGCGTCCACTCACTTAGCCTCCATTGATGAAGACCAGAGGAGTATCCTGGGGGGTGCGGGAGGTGTTTAACTTCACTTCCAAGGAGTGGGACTTCAGCAGTACCCGGTTTGATCTCGTGCTGAAGTGGTTGAGGGACTTGGTCAAGTCCTTTGACCTGGTGGACATCTGCTTAAATCTCCACCCTGACTCCATCGCCATCACTTTTGTGAGGCCTGAGGTCAGAGTGGCGAGGATCAACCGACAGCTTGTACGTCTTCATGGGCATACATCTCCTGCATCCTGGTGACTTCCATGTAGCAGGTGCCATGCATGGATCACCACGTGGTATTGCAGAGCTCACCCCATTCTGTGCCTGGCTTGGGTCTGCATTCTGGCACGGCAACAACCTGCTGCTGGAGGACAAGAGGTTCCGGGATTCATTCCATTACTTCTGGATGGGCTTGAGAAGGAAGCGGGAGAGGGGTTTCCCCTCATGGAGACTATGGTGGGACATGGGGAAAACTCACATTTGTGTCTTCTGTTAGGAGAAGGCGAAGGAGTGGCCCTGTGGCTCAGTGGTTAGCACTGCTGCTTCACAGTGCCAGGGACCCAGGTTCGATTCCACCCTCAGGCGACTGTTTGCACATTCACTCCGTGTCTGCATGGGTTTCCTCCAGGTGCTACCTGTTTCCTCCCACAGTCCAAAGATGTGCAGGCTAGGTGGATTGGCAATGCTAAATTGCCCATAGTGTCCAGGGGTGTGCGGGCTAGGTGTGTTAGCCATGGGAAATGGTTACAGAGTGGGTTGCTGTGGATACGATGGGCCAAATGGCCTACTTCCACACCTGTAGGGACTCTATGATTCTGTAGCAAAGACATGGAAATTGAGGCAGTTGAGAAGGAGGTGCTCAACCTGGAGTCACATCCACGCTGAGACCTGCAGCTCATTGGGTCCCGGGGCAGGTATGTGTGGTCATGGTTCTAGATTGTTGAGGACCAGAACCATCGCTCCCCCTCTACTCACTGGAGAAAAGCCATGGCACTCTTCAGCAGCTCCTTATGCTGCTGACTGAGGACGGGTCCCTCACTTTGGATCCTGGGAGAATCAAGGTCCAGACCTCAGCCTATTACATGGCTCTTTCCAGTGAGGATGCTTTTTTCTCTTCTCTCTTTTTTTCTTACCTTCTGGAGCTGTGGAGAGAGAACATCAGTGGTGATGGCATCGTGGGGAGCATGGCAGCGACTGTGGGTGCCAAGCAGTGTCAGCAGGAGGTCCAATGCGTGAGCAACTGTGGCTCGGAACAGTGTTGGCTAGAGGCCTGGTGCGGGGAAGCAGCTGTGGGCCTGAGCCCAATGTGGTTAGAGTGAGCCTGAAGTGTCGGTTCCCCAACATCTGGGACATCAAAAGCAGAAGCCCAAGGTTTCCTGGAAAGCAGAGGAGACTGAGCCCTTGCAGGCGGTTAAGAAAAACCATTGATGTTTTACTTTTATTCCTTTATTTTTCCTCTTAATACTAGAAAGGACTGGAATGTTAACTTCTAACTTCATTTCCTTATTTTTCTACTTTGTACTAAGAACAATGGTAATGCTTTAGTTTTAATTTTGTTTCTCTCTGTTATTACTTGTATGTAAGTTCTACACCTTCTTATTTTTATTTAAGCAATTACAGTTAGTTATTTTAGTAATAAACCTTGCTACGAGTTGGATTGTGGAAGTCAGAATAAATTACTTAGGAAACATTCTGGGCAAAGGCATGTGTTGCCAAGAACAGCAAAAGTAAAGGTTGTGATATTATTCCTGTTCTTAAACTGAATAGGAAATCATGAGACTTTTGGGGATAGAAGGAACTGCAGATGCTGCAGAATCTGAGATAACAAGGTGTAAAGCTGGATGAACACAGCAGGCCAAACAGCATCAGAGGAGCAGGAAGGCTGACGTTTCGGGCCTTGACCCTTCTACAGAAATGGGGGAGGGGAAGGGGTTTCTGAAATAAATAGGGAGGGGGGGAGCGGATAGAAGATGGATAGAGGAGAAGATAGGTGGAGAGGAGACAGACAGGTCAAAGGGGCAGGGATGGAGCCAGTAAAGGTGAGTGTAGGTGGGGAGGGTATAGGTCAGTCCAGGGAGGACTGATAGGTCAAAGGGGCGGGATGAGGTTAGTAGGTAGGAGATGGGGGTGAGGCTTGAGGTGGGAGGAGGGGATAGGTGGGAGGAAGGACAGCTTAGGGTGGCTGGGACGAGCTGGGCTGGTTTTGGGATGCGGTAGTGGGAGGAGAGATTTTGAAGTGTGTGAAGTCCACGTTGATACCATTGGGCTGCAGGCTTCCTGAGCAGAATACGAGTTGCTGTTCCTGCAACCTTCAGGTAGCATCATTGTGGTACTGCAGGAGGTCCAGGATGGACATATCGCCTGAGGAATGGGAGGGGGGAGTTGAAATGGTTTGCAACTGGGAGGTGCAGTTGTTTAGTGCGAACCCAGTGTAGGTGTTCTGCAAAGCGGTCCCCAAGCCTCTGCTTGGTTTCCCCAATGTAGAAGAGGCCACAATGGGAACACTCGATGCAGTATACCACATTAGCAGATGAACATCTGCTTGATGTGGAAAGTCATCTTGGGGCCTGGAATGGGGGGGTGAGGTGTAGCACTTCCTGCGGTTGCAAGGAAAAGTGCCGGGTGTGGAGGGGGCAAGGGAGTCACGGAGAGAGTGGTCCTTCCAGAAAGCAGATAAGGGTGGGGAGGGAAAGATGTCTTTGGTAGCGGGGTCGGATTGCAGATGGCAGAAGTGTTGGAAGATGATGCATTGGATCCGGAAGTTGGTGGGGTGGTACGTGAGGATGAGGGGGATTCTGTTTTGGTTGTTATCGTGGGGAAGAGGGTGTGAGTGAGGAGTTGCGGGAAATGTGGGAGACACGGTCGAGGGTGTTCTCAACCGCTTGTAGGGGGGTGGGGTGAAGTTGCAGTCCTTGAAAAACAAGGACATCTGAGATGTATGGGAGTGGAATGCCTCATCGTGGGAGCAGATGTGGCGGAGACGAAGGAATTGGGAATGGCATTTTTGCAGGAAGGTGGGTGGGAGGTGTATTCTAGGTAGCTGTGGGAGTCAGTGGGCTTGAAATGGATATCAGTTTCTAGGTGGTTGCCAGAGATGGAGACAAAGGTCCATGCTACTTTGTGTTAGAAGATGTTGCATTCCTTTGTGAAGAATGTCAGAGCATATGTGATGTATTCCATCATACTCCTAAAACAGGCACTGCTCGTGGGGTGGTGGAGCAAGCTTAGAACTTTGTTATCTCAGAGTGGTTCCCTGAGCTATTCTCCTTTGTCATTTGCGCTGCGACAGCCTAGGTGTTCTTAGTCTTGATTCTGCTTGCCCTCTGACATCTATACAGCCCTGTCCTATCCCTCTTCTCCCTTAATTTAAACTCTCCTACTGCTAATCAGACACCACTTCATGCTTGTCATCTTGTGGCCTCTCTACCACTAATATCTTAATCATAAACAATGTCATATTTGATTAGTCCCTAGGATCTCATCCCTCTGATCCTTTAATTCCATCCTAAACCATTCCTTCTGTACTGGGGCAGTGGGGGAAGAAGAAAATGCTAGGAGCTTGCCAGCTGTCAAGTGGCTCACTTTTCACCTTCAGTTTCTACCCATACTCCAGCAACCTACCTGGTTTCACACAGCCACCTTCAATGTCCTTATGCCCACCCCCAGAAATGGTTAGTTTTTCATTCTCTTTGGGTAGATCTTCAATTCAGATACAAGGATTGCAGACTTGGTCACTGTGATCATCCAATCAATACACAGTTTTCACTTCCTTTGTTACCTTTAATCCCTTTAGGAAAAAAAATCTCAAACTCCTTGAAATAAAATGACAGATCAGTTTTTAAGTTTGTTTAATATCAGAAGACCAGAAAAACAATGTTGCTCACTTCTAAGCACTACCAGATATGATAATAGAAGTACATGTAGACAATTTAGATATTTTATCACATTAAACACCAGACAAATGACAAGGAAGACTAGTACACAGTGTGTCAGTACATAAATAACTAAGTAACAAAACAAAAGTGAAGTCTGCATTGTCCACCAAATCAAGGGAAAAGAAAGGCTCATACGTTCAGTAGATGTCCGATAAGAAATAATGCAGTCTTTTTGTGAATAACCAATACAATGCTTTTTAATATTAAAATAGCTTTGTTGCATTACAGAGTTTTTTTTTTAAAAACACTAGTCACCCATTGTTTAGGATGTTTGACACTGCACACCGCCTCTAGGCCTTTGATCTTCCTCATACACTTCCCCACTATAACCTCTGTGTTGCTCTTCTGAGACACATTCTGTTAACTCCACAGGTTCCATGTCGTCAGTGATCATTAACTCTTGACGTGGTGGAAGCAAATCCTCCAATATTGCCAAGTCTTGTGGTGGAATCCAGCCATATGGTGGGAACTTCACCTACAGGTGAGGGAATAATAAGTAATGACAAAAACAAATTCCAAATCTTTCCTTCAGTTACCACTGCATTCAGTGATTATACTTACCGAGAACTGAATGATCAGCAGTCCTTTCTCAAATGGATCTCTGTAAATAGGCATACCTTCATTACGAACACATTTAAGGCTTCCAACTTTTATAACTTCACCTAGAAAGAAAATTTAAAATAAAATGAAAACTAAAACATTAGACCACTTGGCCTAATAAACTTTACTGATCCTCTAAAATGGCAGAAGAGGGCACTTAGAGCAGATGAAAAAGGCCGTAGGAACATAAGGAACAAGTGTAGGCCATTCAGCACCATTCTGCTCCACATTAAGCAAGATTATGACTGATCAAACATTCCTCACATCCACTTCCCTGCCTTTCCCCATAACCCTCAATTCACCTATTGATAAAAGAACTGTATCTGTCTTAAATGTACACAAGGACTCTGACCCCACAGCTCTGTGGCAAGAAGTTCCAAAGATAACTCTCAACGAAGACCCTATGAATTGAACTGACAGCCCTTTATTCTGAGAGTCCTAGACTCCCATAAGGGGAAACATCCATTCACCATCCAATGAGTAGACTCCCAACCTGTTTAGCCTTGGTTATAGACAATCCCCATGTCCTAATGACCCTTCGCTGAACTGCCTCCAATGAAATAAAACCTTTCATCAAATAGAGATAAACTCTGCTCACAGTACTCCAGATCTGGTGTCTCAAGCAACCAAGAGCCAACATTCCATTAGCTTTCCTGGTTACCTGCTGCACTTGTGTGCTAGCTTTGTGTTTTATGCTCAGTATTCCCAGTCCCTTTATGTGGCAGCATTCTTCAGTTCTTTTTCCTCTATTTAAATAATATTGTTCGTATGTTCTCCCTTCCAAAGTGAACTTCACATTTTGTCCACAAATCCTATTTGCCAATTTTTTGTCCACTTCATTTTTCAATATCTCTCTAAACTGTTTGCATCCATCTTGCAACTTGCCATTCCACCTAGGTGTTGTCTGCACGTTTCACTACAAGATAAAATGCAAGATAAAGAGGCTCTGCCCAGACTGTATGCAAATAAACAGAGGAATGAATGAGTAATGAGGCATTTTAAAAAGAACAAATAACAAAGTGAATGCTTTGAAGGATGAGATTTCAGGGAATGAAACAGTAGCTTGAAATAAAAGACAACATTTGTTTCTTAAGGCAGATTAAATAAAGGCAGGCCTAAGACAAAAACTCTTTAAAAGTACATTTACACAAGTCATTAGTTACAATGATCTGAGGGAGTAGACAACCATGCAATGATGTAGCAGAAACAGTCAATAATTACTTATGATGTTTCAAAAAAAGCAAATTTTAGGATATTAGAACCAGCAGCAGGATCTAAATTGCAGAGCTCATTGCTCAGAAATGACAAAGAATTTGAATTGTGTGTCAATCTGGACCTAGGAACCAAGTAACAAGAATTGCCCATTCCATTCCTTGCAATTTGTCATTCCAAAAAGTACTGGTTAATCTGCATGTTAGCCTTGGTTCTTCAATTACCTAACAAAAAGCCTTCTCTAGATCCCTCTAGTTGGAAGGAGACAGACTACAACGTCAAATGTAGCCAAGGTAACACTGGTATCTGTAAAGGCAAAAGGGATAAGCCAGTGTTGTGTTAGTTACTCTTTGTTCAGATTTTGGTAGAGGAGAATTACTGTATAAACACTGTCTCAGCCTGGGATCAAGTGAATTCCTTGACGAGTTTAGAGAGTATCTGAGTACACTTAAGAGAAATCAGGAGAGCTAAAAGGGGACACAAGATGACTTTGGCAGATAAAGGTAAAGGAGAATCCAAAGAGCTTCTACAAATACATGAAGGGCAATAGATCATAGAATCCCTACAGTGGGAGGAACAGGCCCAACAAGTCCACACCGATCCTCAGAGCATCCCACCCACACATCCCTGAATACTATGGGCAATTTAGCATGGCCAATCCACCTAGCCTGCACATCTTTGGACTGTGGGAGGAAACAGGAACACCCAGAGAAAACCGACGCAGACACGGGGAGAACGTGCAAACCCCACACAGACAGTGGAGTACCCGTGTGTGGAATTGAACCCAGATCCCTGGCGCTGTGAGGCAGCAGTGCTAACCACTGAGCCACCGTGCCGCCCTCAGTGTGTGGGTGAGGGGGTCCATGTGGGGGGAGAAAGCTCCAATGGACAAGCTCATTGTTGGGGGAGGGGAATGCCAGGCTGAGTGGTCTCATGATGCCGTTCAGTGGCCAGGGAGTCCTGCACTCTGCTCGCTGTAGACAGGCCCTGATACCAGGAGGGGGATGCGAGTGTTTCCCTTGGATACATTTTTACCTTCCTGGGATACAAAGTAACTGCGAGAGAACTCTCCCTGGGGTTGTTGTTCCCTGATTTGGAGATCTCTCCCTTCTCTTTTCTTGGTGTTCAAACCCACCTCTGTTTCAAAAAACCGAAAACCAATCTTTTCTTTGTGACTATTGCTTTCCAACCACCACCCCCCCGCACCCCCACAGCTTTTATTTGTGAAGAGCCTGTTTCATGGCTCTCCGTCCGCTGGCTCGGAGTCCTCCCCACCACCCCCACCCCACCTGTCTCCTGTCCCACTGCCCCCTCCACTTCCCCAGGATGGCTTCTGTCAGAAATGGCCTCCAACGGAGTGACAGGTACATTCTGGCCGGCGATGTCGGCTCCACATCCGTCAGGTGCCACGTGTATGACCCCGCCGCCAAGATCAAAGGGTAGAGCAGCAGACCGATAAAAACGTTGTATCCCAAGCCTAGTTGGGTGGAGGTGAATCCAGACGAGATGTTCGAACAATTTGTTGCTGCTGTTAAGGAGGCGGTTGAAGATTCTGGATTGCACATGAAGCAGATGGTCACTCTTGGCATTTCAACACAGAGCAACATTTGTCATTTGGGACAAGACAACAGAAAGACCCTTTCATAACTTTAGCTGTTGGCAAGACCTACGAATGGTTGATCTTGTCAGGTTGTGGAACAAGTCATTATTACTTTGACTGGTTCATAAATCCAGTGGATTACTCCATTTTCTGAGCAGGAAGAAGCACTTCTTAGCCGAGTGTGATCATTTCTCAATCCAGCATGTATCGGTTCATTTAGCCTGGGTTCTCCAAAATATAAAGCAGGTTCAAGATGCTGTCGCTGAAGACAATTGCTCTTTTGGTACTATTGATACATGGTTGCTATACAAACTGACAAAAAGTAACTTTGATTCAGAGACAGTGGGAACTGCCGATGCTGGAGAATCTGAGATAACAAGGTGTAGAGCTGGATGAACACAGCAGGCCAAGCAGCATCAGAGCAGCAGGAAAGCTGACGTTTCGGGTCTGGGCCCATTTCTGAAGAAGGGTCCAGACCCAAAATGTCAGCTTTCCTGCTGTGTTCATCCAGCTCTACACCTTGTTATCTCAAAAGGTAACTTTGGCCTTGAAGGCAAAATGTCAAGTAACCTTAATCTAAAGGGCACTGAAGCAGCAAATTCAAAGTAGTGATTTGTTCAAATCTGTTTGAAATAAAAGTTAACTAGGGAGAGAATATGGCCTCTTAAAGATCAAGAAGGTGATCTATATGCAGAGCCACAAGAGATGGATGAGATTCTAAATGATTATTTCTCTGTTTTTATGTTGAGAAATGTATGGATGCTAGGAAATTTGGGGAAAGTGATGTCTTGAAGAATATCCACATTACAGAAGAGGTGGCGCTGGAAGACGTAGAATGCATTATGGTAGATAAATCCCCAGGACCTGATGACTATATCCCAGGACTTTGTGGAAGGTTAGGGAGGAAGTTGCAGGGCCCTAGCAGAGATATTTGTATTATCAACAGCCACAGGTGAAGTGCCCAAAGACTGAAGGGAGGCTAATGTGCCACTATTTAAGAAAGGTTGCAGCAAAATGCCTGGGAACTACAAATCAGTGAGCCTAAAATCCATGGTGGTTAAGTTATTAGAGAGGGTTGAGATAGGATCTACGGGCATTTGGAGAAGCAAGGACTAATTTGGGATAGTCAGCATGGATTTGTGCATGGGAACCTGTCTCATGAATTTGATTGAGTTTTTTTAAGGGGTGACCAAGGAAGTGAATGAGGGCAGTGAGGCAGACATGGTCTACATGGACTTTATCAAGGCTTTTACCAAGGTACCACATGGTAGGTTGCTCAGCAAGGTTAAATCTCTCAGGATCCATGGAGAGCTAACCAATTAGATACAAAATTGACCTGACATTATAAGACAGAGGGTCATGGTACAGTGTTGTTTTTCAGACTGGAGTCTTGTGACCAGCAGTGAGCCACAGGGATCAGTGCTGGGTTCACTGTAGTTCATTATTTATGTAAGTGATTTGGATGAGCATTTAGTAGGTATGGTTAGTAAGTTTGCTGAAGACACCAACATGGGTAGTATAGTGGACAGTGAAGGTGGTTATCTGGGAATGCAATGAGATCTTGATCAACTGGGCCAATGGCCTGAGGAATGGCAGATGCAGTTTAATTTACAGAAATGCAAGGTGTCAAATATGGCAAACCTGGGCAGGTCTTACACAGTCAATGGTTGGGCCTTGTCAAATGTTAGAGCAAAAAGATTAGGGGTACAGGTTCATAGCCCTTCACAAATGGAGTCATAGGTAAACAGGGCAGTGAAGGCAGCTTTCAGCATGCTAGCTTTCATTGGCCACAGCATGGAGTATAGAGTTGGGATGTCTTGTTCAAGCTGAGGTCACAGTACTGCGTGCAGTTCTGTTTGCCTGACTATAGAAAGAGTATTATTAAAAAGAGTGCAGAAAAGATTTACTAGGATGCTACCTGGACTAGTAGATTTGACTTAAAGGAGAGGTTGGATAGGCTGGAACGTTTTTCCCTGGAGCGTAGGAGACTAAGGGGTGACCTTACAGAAGTACGTAAAATCATGAGGGTCATAGATAAGATAGCCGACAGCTATTCCCTAGCGTAGGGGAATTTAAAACCAGTGGGCATAGGTTTTTTTTTGGTGGGGTGGGGGGGGTGTTGCTTGTGTGTGTGTGTGTGTGCGCGCGCAAGAGTTACAAAAGGGTCCAGAGGGGAAGTCTTTTTCCAGAGGGTGCTGAGTGTGTGGAACAGGCTGCCAGAGGTAGTGGTGGAAGCAAGTACAATTTTGTCATTTAAGAAACATTTAGACAAGTCCATAGATGGGAAAGGTATGGAGGGATACGATTCAAACGCAGGTAAATAAGACTAATTCCGACGAAGAGTCACCAGACCTGAGATGTGAACTTTCTCTTCACAGATGCTGCTAGACTGCTGAACTTTACCAGCAACTTCTGTTTTCACAGGGTGAGAGTGACTGCCCTTAATATCAGTCATTTGACTGATTATACCATCAAGAAACTCAGCAAAACTGGAATCAATGGAAATCAAAGGAAAAATTCTTGCAGGTGGAGTCATATCAAAAAGTTGGTTGTGGTGTTGGTCAGTCATCTCAGCTCCAGGACAAAAACAAAGTTGCTGGAAAAGCTCAGCAGGTCTGGCAGCATCTGTGAAGGAAAAAACAGTTAATGTTTTGGGTCCGGTGACCCTTCCTCAGAACC